TTCCTATACCTTAGATTTCATCCTAGCTAATCTCCCCAAGTGATATTTCACAATTTAGCACCATAAAACCCCTCATCCATGAGTTCACGGCCGTGAACTCATTTGGAGTTGGTCTTAGGGCCGAAAAATCCATAAGGAGTTTACTCTTGAAGAGTAAACACTATATCCAAGCCATATATGTCCTTAGATGTCACCCGGGTCACTCCAAACACTTGATTTGAAGTGTTTTCGCGTCTTGGAGTGTATAATCATATCTAATTACTGATTTAAAGTCCAATTAGATTTTTTGTATATCATTTCATATTACATAGGAACCCCACGTGTTATCAAGCCCGAACTGACACTTAGCATTTAATCCGACACGTTTCTCGACCGGTGAGTTCATACCCCTACGCCTTTTTCTGTGTTTTTCAATGTTTTCAGGGCGAATACAAGCAAAAACTACAAATATTTTCAAAAAACTAAAACTGATGTATTTTTATAAATATCTGGCTAACCTTTAGATATCTTTACCCCTTATGTATTATGTTGAGGATAAGGGATGTTTTATCGACTATAACTACGTGGATTTCAGTAAAGGAAACAATCAAACCAATTAAATTATTATGGGAATAATTTGGGATCTTTAGTTTTTGTTTTACGAATATAGACTTACGTAAAGTTAATAGATAAACTATGTCTGATTAGGTTTATCTCTATTTAATTTAGAATATATTGCTAGATAATTTCATTGTATTTAACTATTGTACTGTATTATGTTTCAATACGATTTGTATGTCTGATAACATTTGAGAACCCCATGAATAACATGATACTAGCTTGTGAGATTCATCATTATTATCAGTAAATCCTCCTCGGAAGTGTAACCAGAGTCTCCTGGAGGGAGAGCGTGGAATTTGTGGATAGATCTATTCGGGACTGACAATCCGACTCCTAAACTGCTAGCTACAGTTAGCCGGGCACGCCTGGGGTGACAAATTATGGAAATCGTCCGACATTTGACAAACATCAAGGAGGTCTCGGTATCGCATTAGCATGGTTACCCGACTCACAATATGTATTAATATATATTTATTCACGGATTGAATTTTATATCTACTTTCTATCTACAGTTCTTATATCTAGTAGGGGTTGGTAATCCCATGGTTTTGTGTCTTATATCTAGTACAGGATGATAATCCCATGGTTTTCAATCTATATCTTGTACGGGATGATAATCCGAAGGTTTGCAATGTTTATCTAGTACAGGAAGATAATCCCATGGTTTTGAATCTATATCTAGTACGGGATGATAGTCCCATGGTTTTCAGTCTATATCTATCTATAGTTTTGTGTATATCAAACTATCTTATAACTGGTACGGGATAGTAATCCCATGATTTTCAATAAATAGTTTTATGTGTAAAACTATACAATGTGGTCTTTAACTAAAACTTTACTTTTAGGAAAATATAGGATTTTCCTGGGATAACAATTATACATAACCAGAATCGTGTAACCTAACAGTTAACTAAACATTACTTTTAAGGAAAATATGGGATTTTCTTGGGTTTGTAACTTATTTGGAAAACCAAAGGAAACTTAAACATTTTCAGAAAACATACATCTTATGAACTCACCAGCTTTATGCTGATTTTTAAACTGCTTGTATTCTCAGGTCCGCATTAGACAGGTACCCAGCGATCCTTTTGGTGAAGACGGAGTACGTAGAAGACATGTCTTTACTTTTGTTCATATGATACATATGTATAACAATTGTAACACTTTACTTTTGAACATATGTAAATTCTAATATGTAATGTAATGGTTGTTTACTTTGATTACTATGTGCCTTGGATTTGATACTCAACGTGGAGTCCGCCCTGGAAACGTTTCCGCCTTGGGTTTCGGGGTGTGATATTGTTTAAAAAGATTCATTTCAAGAGAATGAAAAGAGAAGATGCGATGTGTATAATCGGCTCGAGCTCAATGAAGAGATTTCCCAAAATATCCTTTTCTTCTTTATATGTTGTATTTGACTTTTTGTTATATGTGTTAGAGTATGATGTGCATGCTACAAGTTAGGCTAAGGATGTAATCAGGGTTACACGCTAAAGTGCCTGCTGAGGAGATATGTGATTTATGTGTGATTTTCGAGCTGTTAGAGATACATGATGATGTATAGGCTAAGGATGCTTAGGAATTATGAGTTAGAATTACATGATCCTCACAATGCCTATTTACATATTGGTTTTTCTACTTGAATGTTGTTGGCTTTGTGATATGTGAAACCATTATTAATGTTAGTTTACTATTATGCAAATAATCTAAGTCGCATGTAATTGTATTCGTAGGATAATTAATTGACATTGGTAGAAGTTCTTTTGCAACTAATAATAGGATTGGGGTGAGTATTCCTAGTAACTTTGGAGGAGTTCTATAGTGTTTTGAATGTGCATTTACATATAAGGAAGTCTAAGGTGGTAATCTAGGCAGTCTGTGGTGGTTTTTCGAAGTATATAGGTGTACTGGTACACCTAATGGAAGTGGAGTTCCTACAAGAGTATTTTAGTGTGTGCTTACGTGTGAGAAAACTCTTAAGGGAGAGGCTAAGAAGAACGGTAGTGTGTTCCTATGGTGGCACGAGTATCTGAGGCTGATAGTTGTCGTGTGTAGTGACTTAGGAAATTTAAGGAAGTTCTTCGGACATATACAGATAGGTGTGGAAGCTAGTGTAGGCCCGTACTATTGAAAGAAGAGTATACATATGTGGATCAGGAAAAGTTGAAAAGGTTCTAAGGAACTCATGGAGGATATATAGTGTGGTATAACACTAAGTTAGTCGCACTACTCTCCATCATTGTTGGCCTATCGACCTTGATTTTTTAGAATGCTGTTTTAACCGGTAGTTGTGTTGTTTCATGCATTCTGATAGTAAAGTCGAGTATGTTCTTGGTCAAGCTGGTATGAGGCTTTGCAGTTGAAGATGTAATTCGATGATGGTTTGAACCATAAGTGGGGGAGAACTGGGAATTCTACTTAGAGGATCATCAGTTGGTCCGATTTTCATGATTTTTTTTGACGAGTCAAAATAACTTTTATATCAGGAAAGTTAGAAATTGGTTTAGGGTTTATGGCTGCATAGGGAAAAGGAAATTGTGTTACTATCCTTGTGGTTAGAAAAATGATGCAGATGATTTAAGGTTTTGGTAGATCATGGACGCAAAGAATGTAGTTATTCATTGCACGTCTTTAAGAACGCATGTGTTGTTCTCACAATAGAGAGTTGATGGGTAAGGAACTTGTTGTGGCCAGTAGTTCCTTTTTGGGTAGCTCCACGGATCTGGATGAAGGGGTGTTGAACCGCAATTTTATACATCAATTATAAGAATCATGGTTAGCTTGCGGTATATGTTGGTCATTTAAGGCCACGAACAGACAGTCATTTGAAGGTTTCTATCGATCAGATATACTTCAAGTATGAATAACAAATGTAAAACTAATCTAAGACAAAATAATGAACAGAAAGTAGATAGCACAGATGTTTTCCAAAATTTTCTTTCACCAAGAAAGAGTCTTGTCTTCACCAAGAAGACAAGTTTTTCATAAAGACAATTAACACAAAGCCATGATCACAGGACGCAAAACCACACACAACATTAGGGTTTTCCCTAATTTTGTATATATACTAATATACTCATGTATATCCCATGATTGAAGGGGTTTCGTCTAATCTATACTAAGAATCAATCTTATCAAAAAGATAAAGTACATGAGATCTATTCTATACTTATCTATATCATTTGTAATATACAAATATATCTTCCAAATACACAAAGATTACAATCTGAAAACTATAGTATAATCTGCCGTTGATAGGCTTGATACGTTGGCACCGTCGATGTTATAGACGTTGATGCTAATCTATCAGCATGTCGTGTGTTTGACTCATCAGATAATAAAGTGTGACCTTACAATCTACCCTTTCTGATGAGTTAAAAACTAATATTATTTAGAGTAATCAGAAGAGCCGTTATAGAGCTTGTCAGCTTCTTTTTGGATTTTAAGCTTGACCCATCTGAATTGATCAAACTTAAGTTCATCCAATCTTCGACTCAGCTCCAGAGATATCAACTTACGAATATCCTCTTTCCTGTTCATAGTGACCTATTCCTTCCAAGCGAAGATGAAAACAAATGTTCAATGGGAGTAGAAGGAAGGTCATCGGTGCGTTGAAAGTACATCTGATTTTGACTGTCGAGATAGAAGATCCCATGCTCTTGGTCTGGAATAAACATGTACTGAATGGGTTCAACACCCGTTGGCAATTTGGTTTTGATGTATTTAGAACCATAAGGAAGAAGAAACTTGGTATTCATGGACTGTCTGGGAGTGCCTTTTCTTCTTGATGAGGCTGATCTAGATGAACTTGTTGATGGACCAGCGTGTGGCATAAGATTTAGTTTCTTTACTTTTTTGAGAAGATGATGGATTTCCAGCTTCACTTCTTGAGCACAAAACTCTTGTGTTTGTCGATGATTTCTAGAATTTGCATCCACTCATTGTTGTCAAATTTGACTAGCTCACGAGCAAATACAACCTCATTGTATTTAAATTTCACCTTATTTCTCACCAAGTAAAGCTTTAGTGACTCGTTCTTTGGCTTGGTAAATCTTACTTTGATGATAGGATCCGACTTTGTTTTATGAGACAAAATGTATCCAAAAAATTTTCGATCGGTTCGGTCATTTAGGTCTAAAACAATGTATTCCTTTTCCACATTTTTATTGAAGACATTCTTGACTTGATTATTAGTGCTTTGAACATCAACATTTTCATCAGCGAAAGGAAGAGCTTGAGCGAGTTTGGCAGATAGACATTCTTCTTTTCTTGTTGCTTCTTTTGTTGGATAGCAGCATTGTATTCCAACATGATCTATCTAACTTCCTCGATAAGTAAGGCCCATGTTTCTACTAACCCATTCATATAAAAGGTGAGCTTACTTCTGTTTTTAGTACAAGCTAAAGTATCACTAATCGCAAAGTAACTTCCAGATTCAATGTTAAGAGCTCCCCCTGAGAAGGAAGTCTTCCACTTTCGAGGAATGAGTTGGACATCATCATCAAAATCAATGCCACTATTGATTCATTGAGGACCTCTTCTTTAGTTTTTTGAGAAGCTTCCCCTTCCACACAAGCACCAGGATAGACAACATTTAAGGGAACATCAGGAACAATTGCTTGTTGCATGAAACCAACATCAAGAAACCCTTCATAGTCATCTGTTTTTGATTGGTCACTAGTGTCTAGAATGGGCTAATAAGTTATAGTATCATCATCTGGAAGATCAGCAACAACAATCTACTTTTAAGGACCAACTTTATCTTCAAACCATCCAATCATCACAGGTTGAGATGGAGTTGGAACAACCATCACCTTCATTTACATTGGCTGAGGATCCCCTTGATTATTCTCCCTCTGTTGGCAGCATCATATTGGGGAAGAGAGTTAGGAGGGGGTGAAGGAGTTCTTCGGGGAGGATGAGATGGTGGAGGAGGTGGTGGTGGAAGATTTGTTGATGGAGGTGGAGGTGGAGGAGGATTATCACCTGGAGAGTTTGGTGGAGTGTCATCAACAACCACATCATCATCATCACCCAAGGCCATAAGTTGCTTTCTTGTAGCCATATCTCGTTCAACTTTAGTCAATCTTTTCCATTGACTGCATTAACTGCACAATTAAAAAGGTTTGAGAAAGCAAAGTTGTTTCAAAGTTAGATATTGAATTCTTCCTTATCACCCTAATGAAGAGCACCAGTAATAACGAGTGTTAGCATAAGGGGAACAGTCTCGGCTTGAGGAACATTATCAATTAGAGGAGAAGTAGACAATTTTGGAGAAGGTTCGTCTTGGATCATTGGCTTCGTAGTATCTCCAATAGGAGGGGTTGATCCATGAGGTACAATGTCACCAGAAGAAGAAACGTTTGTTCAACCTTGGAAGAGAGTTCATTTTCTGAGTGAATTATTCTCTGGGTCTGCTACTAATTCTTCTTCATCTTTATGAGTATCTTCTTTCTCATCAGCCCCTTCTTTATTACTAGCTTCTGAATTCTCATTATCATTATCTTCTTCATCACCATCATCATCATTATTACCATCTTCATCATTATCCTCTTCAGAGTCTGAGGATTCAACCACATATGGTTTTTCAATGCACTTTTGCATCCTTACAGTAATAGGAAAATCATCCCAAGATGGAGCGCCATTAATAATCTTTGAGGAAAGGGCATGAATTAGAATGATAATCTGATGAATTTCAGTCTAGCCTTCTTCACGAGACAAGATCAGACCAAGCCAATGTGGATAAGGAACATTAAGTGGATTCTTGTTCCTAGTAAAGCAGTCAACAATTTGATCAAGAAAAAGTTGAGAAAAATTTAGTTTCTTGTTGTAAACAATAGAATAATTTCCTTTGCTCAAAGAGATTCAATTGATCAAAACATCCAGTCTTATGTCCAAGACATTTGCCAACTACACATGTTAAGTACTTCCACCCTACATTAAAACATTAATGAAGAGTGTTCTTGTATTGATCATGAGTAAGTTCTGGAAGATGGAATTTATACCCTAATTTTTCACAAATAGATTTGCAACTTTATTTAGAGGGAGTTTCAAAGTAACTCTTAAATCGAGGAAGACAAAGAGCAGTTCCAAGGGATTCCACATCAATGGTAACCTTATATTGACCATCTCCAATGGTTCCAATAATGGTTTGAGCAACAGTATAAAAAACAAATTATATTAAAACTCACATACTTGTTTAGGGAAGAAAGGATTAGGATAGTCACTAATGCGTATAGAAGAGTGTAGCTCTTGACATAGTCAAAAAAGTCTTTGATTCCTAAGTTTGTGAACTACTTTCAAATTTCATCCGAGAACTCTACCTTGGTGGATTGAATGATGATGGAATAGTCAAGAGCATGAGGACCTTTGATGATGTTAGTTATGGGGGTAAACTCATACAAGGGCTTTGACATGGTGAAATATTTGATGGAGATGACAATTTGGAGCCTTTTCGAAGAGAGAGAGAGAGAGAGAAAGAGAGAGAGAGAGAGAGAGAGATTAATTGCATGAATTGCTTGTAAAAGTGACCTAGGATGAAGAATTCCAATTTTTACGCAAATTTTTTTCCTTTTTAACGTGATCATAAGTGACGATATATGCACCATAGAGATTTTGAATCCCAATATAATGAAGAATATTTTTAGAAGTTAATCAAAAAAGTTATTGTTAATACAAGGAAGTTACATTAGTGAGACAAGTCATCAACTGCAATGAGCATCGGCTTAAGTGATCAACGAATAAATTTACGATGATCAACTAGTTCTTTTATGGTGTCTCCTGATTGTGTTGGCTAAAACTATAACTCACTGACATAGTATTGTGAGAAGTTATTAGCGTGTGGTTGGATACGTTGAATCGTACATCTCTTTTCTTAGAAGAAAAATGAAAAGAGTAGATAGGTGCATGCAATATATCATGGACAATGATATACCCATTGGCATAGATTTGTCAAGCTCTCATCACCGTATGGTACAGTATGCTGAATTATAAAACTTAAAGAAGAATGTAAGGGAAAGAATGGATTTACGCATGTGATAGCCTATGATACATAGACTAACCATTGGCATAGACTTTCAAACTTCTACCAGTGTGGTATATCACAGTGAATCGTTAAGTTCTATATAAGAAGAAAAAGGAGAGAATGGATTCTTTCACTACGCTAAGGTGAAATCAACATGAATCATTAACAATTTCACTCATCAAAAAGAAGTGGTTTACACTTCTTTATCAATGAAAAAGTTGCAATCTAGAATCAAAGATTCACCGTTAATTCATAATGCTACTATGTCATACCTGAAACGAGGAGGTTAGGGACATGAAAAACCCTTTGTCATTTAAGGACCTAACAAGTATCTCTTATGCTGATCACCATGGAATCAGGGTAAGCCCTTGGATTATGCTTAATGCTTCAGCAAAACATAAGACTTGATGCATACGGTAAGCTTGCTTCCAATGATAGGGCCAGGTAAAGATGATTAAATTATTATACACACCCCAACCTTTTTATCAATATTTTTTTCGAACCAGTCAATCTCACCTTGAGAGTGTAGACAATGCTAGTCAATCAACGTGAGAGGGTGGCTCAATATTCTCATGATATGCTCTTACTGATTAGAAACTTAGAGAGATTCTATCGCATACAACAACATGCTTCTAGGGAAGATGTTGTGTCAAAAGTTGCATACTAGAGTCAAAATTTCAACCATTGGATTCCATTAAAAAATGGTACAAACGAATAAACAATAAAAGAATATAAACAAAAGAATTAATCAAACAAGAAAATAGTTTAAACAGGGAAAATGTGTAGCTCTTTCAGAAAGGTGATTAGGATCCGTTCCATCAAATCTTTGAATTTGAATGGTCATAAATGCACTAACATTTTCCGAGATATATACCACTTGAGTTTTCGACTATAAAAGATCAAAGATACTCCATTCTTTCTAAAACTACAACATATTTCTGAAAGATCCAAACTTTTATACTTCACAAATATTGTTACTCCAGAACATGCTACATGCATATTCATAAAATAATATTTTACATTGATAGTATTTACGTAAATTGGATACAATGCAACTATTAAGATTATACTTTCCCAGGAATGCAATACAAAAATTATAACATTATCTATTGTACATCTTCTACCAGTACAAAACTAAACTGGATGCTTATCACCTGCAATAGTTTAAACACTGAGAGGTATAAACGGGTGACGCTTAGTAAGTTCAATAAGAATTACAATATAACATTATGCCATATATATATATATATATATATATATATATATATATATATATATGTATATATATATATATATATATATATATCAATATGACAGAAGCAAAGAGGGACAAGGAGCAAGATAGGCAAATAAGTATCATATGACATGCTTTCCATAATAGCAAATAATCATAATATCATTTCACTAGAATAAACAGGCTTTCAGCCATGTCTTTGTATTCTGCTATGCCAAAGTGATGCTTATGTCATACACTTCATGGCCAAAGGCTACATACCAGTACCCAAGTTATGCTTATGTCATACACTTCGTTGCCTAAGGTATAGCTCATTATCATAATAACATGGCAAAGCACATTAAACATATAACACATAACATACAATTGTCCCTATATTGAAACACACCGTGAAATAATCGGGGGTTAAAATAGTAATTTGTGCAGCACTTCGTTATAATAGATAGCTTTCCTCACTAAAAACTAGGAGCTTTATTGAAAACCGGACCCTGCAAGGGTTGAGCTTCAAACCGACAAGATAAATTTCTTGCACACTTCGGGAGGAGTTTCAGGTGTTGGGAATATTCCCGGGGATTCGGGGGAAGTTGAAATAGCTAAAAATTAGATTTAGGAGTAAAAAGTGTGAAATTTCCAAAATTACCAGGGAGGAGTCACACCTCCCTTTATATAGGGATGGCTTCAGACTGAGGGGGGGGGGGGTGGCTTGCATGCGATGGTGCCAGGTAGCATGGTTCGCAGGCATATACGGAGAAGGCAGGCGGCGCGCTCGGATTGGGCCGCTTCTTCGGATGCGAGATTCAGCGACACGCGTCGGCAGCCGGCTTCGGGCACATCATCGAGATCGGACACAGGGCGCTTTGCGGGCGAGGGTGACGTGACCGAACCTAAGCCATGTAAAATTCCTCAGTTTTGGTGATTTTCTTGGTTTTTGTGTCCCAAACTTCTAAAATCCATAACTTTCGCATGCTCCATTTTTGACGTTCTTTATATGCATATATAGTTCAAATTATGCAATACAACTTTCATTTAGAGTCTGTTAGCTAATTTTGAGTTTATTTTTAATATTATTATTTTTAATACACTAGAACAACAAAATTCGTTAAAAATACATAACCTCTTCATTCATCTCCGTTTTCGTCTATCTTTTTACCGTTGTACTACTATTGACGAGGCCTTCGATTCTCGTTTAGGTTGCGACTGCTAAAATTCACTCGATCTTTATTTCGAGTTTTTAGCTGTCTACTGTTATTCCGAAACTTAGAAAAATTATAACTTCCTCATACGAAGTCAGATTTGGACGTTCTTTTTATAAAAATTCTTGGTTTAACGAATACTACGTCTTTCATTTAGATCATAAGGGCTAAAAAGTAGTTTATCGAAAACTTAGTTTTTACATCATACAACTTCTGAAGGGTTTTGAGCGTTCTAACACTCCTCTGGTGTACATGCAAACCTAAATACCTTGGATTTATGTTTTCTCTATTATACATGCAAACTTTAAGTTTCCAAGGTATTACCCTGACTACCATACAGTCATAAGTACTTTATAACAAAAGTACATAGAATACATACCTTTTTGATGTAGTCTGATTCCATGGAGCTCAAGAGCCTAGTGCCCCAAGTGTGGCACCTCAAATGGTTCACACAACATCACCAACATTTGGAATAACCAAGAGAAGAGATATGTGGACTCTAGAAATCAGAGTGTCTTCTTGTGTATACCCTAGTGCCAATTTCACCAACCAATGGGGTCTTTATATAGTGTGGCTATTAGGGTTACACCATGTAACTCTTGATTTTACCCATTCCTCATGCTCCATGGGTTTTAACCTCCATGGAGTATCCATGGGTCACCACATGGGTTAAGCCCCACATAAAGGAATCATGGATCATAAGCCCACATATATACGAATGAATGATTTACACAATCAATCCCTATACATTTAACTAGTCTCTTTTGATCACTAAATTAATTCCAAATTAATTCTTGATCAATACTAATTAAATAATATTATTTCATATTAATATATTAGAACTTATAATATATTAATATGTCACAAATATCCTTTTCTCACAAAAGGTCAATCCAAATGTTTCGATGCCATGCAACCTAAATGGACCATGCCGGGTCGGCTCAAGTATATACATATATTGTTATGGACTTAGACACTAATCCAACAATCTCCCACTTGGATAAGTCTAATAACTATTATTGCAAGTGCAACTCCAACCTGACAAGCAACTGTAGCTCTTAAGAGTTGTTGCATAACTCTGAACAAATCAATGACGCATCCATTAGATAAGTGATCATATATTCCTCCATTCTAGATATCATATGGACTAAGACATGAATTATAATCATTCTCTCTGTTCATTTTTTGTTTCCCGATTTCCGATTTATGACGACCGACTAATTGAACAAATCAAAATAGTCCATGCTTAGCCAAGCACTTCTTGGTGTCATCACTAAATCATCAAGGGGCCCACATATATCGCTTTTATCCCTTTAAGGGTAAAAGGAATGGATAAACTTCGACTCATATGCTTGTTCTACTACTTGTTGAATCATACCCAAAGGCATGTTTTATAACATCGAGTTACCAATGCGTTTTCGTACAATCAGTGTATAACCAACTCATAGGCAACAACTCATATCTCTAGGTTTGAAGAATATAAGATATTATTGTCTCATGATCACTTATGATAAAATGCATGAAGTGAGTCAAATGAGCATGGGTTAAATCCAATACTCAGAACTTATGAGCACTCATGAATGTTGTAGCAACTCTTGCTATGTCCAATACCTTGAACATCTACAACCAGCTTCATGATAGTGTTTCCTTAATACCTACTTACAACGTATTATCGATTGTGGATGGCTTGAATAACTTAGTCATTCAGGAAGACTGACCTAGTTATTCTGGAATTAAAAACATGCAAAGTGAAACACAAGAATAATAGAATCTATTATGGTCTTAGACCTTATGAATATAAATAGAACAACTTTTATTTATCACCATATTTATTACACATTATTCATTGTATACTGTTTCAAATTATCAACTTTATGCTTGAATTAAAAAAATAGTTATCTCATGCTCCAAGCATGTACACTATGTTTTCTAAACACTAATCATGCCATACACCAAGTATGCACA